GGATGGATGATAGATAGGTGGAGATGGGGGAATGATAGATAGACAGACAGATAGATAGTTGATAGAGTAATTGGAGGAAAGCCCTCTTGAATGCAAACTAGAATGCAAGTCTCTATTGCAGAGCACGCTGCATCATGTGTTGCATGTGCTTGCATGTGCATGTATTCATGCATATTAATATACACCATCAATCTATTGAATCTATCCCCTCGGCGACGGCAGAGAAGGGAGTGGGGGGTAAGAGTCCGGAAATTGAATAATGAGTAAATGAAAGGGAACTACACTTGGCTGCCATCCAGCAGCTGGCAAAGGCAAAAGGCGTTGTGATTCAGCACAAAGGATTTGCTGATATGCTTGGAGGAGGAGGAGGAGAAAGGGCATTATTGATGGACTCCTCCAAGGCCTGATTGCTATTTGCTTTCAAGGCTTCTGCTGCCAAATCTGATTTTTTCTTTATTATTTTTTGATGCTGCAACCTTTTAATTTAGCCAAACACTTTTGATGAAGCAGGTAGCAATCTGTCTATTCTCTCTTGGCCACATACAGGTCTTGCTATTTGCAAAATGGGTTGTTGTTTTCATTGTTGCTGTTGTTGTTTTCCACCAGGATTTTGTTTGTTTGCTTTTCTTTGTCACTCATTTTTTTCTCTCTGAGGCTATGTGCTGGTTGAGAGTGTGATGCAAGAGACAACGTGGTAGAGGTGGTTGGTTGGGGTCTTTTGGCCAAATAGTACAATATACACCCCAATACTATTCTAATCTCAAAGGCACAGAATGGTGGGATTATATGACCAGTTTTACATATAATTTCACATATATGTAAGAATCCCTAGAGATGACACGTTAAACAGACCTACATAACTTAAGCTTGTAAATGGGGAGGTCCAATTGTGATGGTGTTGCATGCATTGTCACATGAAGTTTAGGAAGCATAGACCAGATAAATTCTCGCTTGCCCTTTCCTTTTCTAGACTCTTCCATCTCTCTTTGACTCCATTCCATCTTGACTCCATGCAACATTAACTCCAGGAGACTGAGTTCAAATTTTGGAGACTATTTTGCTTATGTTTGGAGATGGTTGGACTTTTTGTTATCTGTTTTGCACAAGTAAATTTGTCCTTGGGAGTAGCCCACTTTTTGCCTTTTGGACTAATGCTTTCTTCCTGATGTTTCCACTTTGATTGAGATCCTACATCATTGGTGTCAAAGAAGGCCCATGGGCCGAATCTGGCCCACCATATCCTTTTATGTGGCCCTCTTCCAGGTGCTGGGCTACAACTCCTGTATTCCTCATCATTACGCATCATGACTAGAGCTGATGGGAGTTGTGATCCAATAATACTTGGAAGGCTGCAGTCTGTCCTGTTTTGACACATGAGTGGGATTTGCATTTAGATTCAAGGCTTGTGGACATCTGTCTGACTTTAAAATGCCCTTTCGCCTTTCCCCAACCTCAGGGCCACAAGCTCTGTTGGATTGCAATTCCCATTATCCCTAGTCTGCATGGCAGATAACCAAAAGTGATGGGGGTCATTGCTTTATATCATCTGAGGACCTAGAAAGATAAAGAACACTTATCTTTATGTATAAAATTATAGCTGGCCCTCTGTATATCCATGGGTTCTCCATTCCTGGATTCAGTAGTCCTTTGAAGGCAACCATAAGGCTGATATGATTCCCTATGAAAATGAGTTTGTCATGTATCCATAAACTTGCAAAAGTGGATGATCTACTGTCATTGTAACATGTCACGGCACTAGTGTCTGTCCTTGTTTTTATCTGTTGAATAACAGGGGCCATGCCATAAGTCTCACAATGGCTTGGAGAAGGCATTTCTCTCACTTGCTTTGTCCAACCACTTCTACTTTTATTCTACTAACATCTTCTGATAATTTAGTCTTGAAAGTTAAGCAGAGTCAGCCCTGGTTAGTACTTAAAAGGAAGACAACCAGTGACTGTATTTCAGAGGAAGGAAAACCACCTCTGACCATTCCTTGTCTAGAAAAATGCCCTATGACATTCATAGGCTCTTCATATGTCCACAGAAGACTTGAAGGCACATACAGAAGATCTGATCTTGGTGCTTTTGGTCCGAATACTAGTGTAAGGTATAAATTTCAGAGCATGGGGAAAGGTGCCTTTTGGGACTATCATAGAATCATAGAGTTGGAAGAGACCTCATGGGCCATCCAGTCCAACCCCCTGCCAAGAAGCAGGAATATTGCATTCAAAGCACCCTTGACAGATGACCATCCAGCCTCTGTTTAAAAGCCTCCAAAGATGGAGCCTCCACCACACTCCAAGGCAGAGAGTTCCACTGCTGAACGGCTCTCACAGTCAGGAAGTTCTTCCTCGTGTTCAGATGGAATCCCCTTTCTTGTAGTTTGAAGCCATTATTCCACATCCTAGTCTCCAGGGAAGCAGAAAACAAGCTCCTCCCCATGACTTCCTCTCACATATTTATACATGGCCATCATATCTCCTCTCAGCCTTCTCTTCTTCAGGCTAAATATTCCCAGCTCTTTAAGCCGCTCCCCATAGGGCTTGTTCTCCAGACCCTTGATCATTTTAGTCGCCCTCCTCTGGACGCATTCCAGCTTGTCAATATCTCTCTTCAATTGTGGTGCCCAGAATTGGACACAATATTCCAGGTGTGGTCTAACCAATATAGCTCCAAGAACTTCATGAATGGGGGATTCTGAGGGTGTCAGTCCATAAAGAAGGACCTTCCACAAGCCCAAAAGGCTTGCCAAGGAATCTTAGGTGCTGGAAGCTCTATTTCAGAGGAAGAGATTGGCCAAACTACCTTTGGGTATTCTTTGCCCAAGAAAATCTCATTAAAAATTCATAGGGTCAGGCTACTTCAAGGCAGAAATACACACTTCTAATATCGTGTTGGATCATTTGTCTTCTAGGTTTTCCCTAAATGCTCCAAAATCCTAATTTACAAACCTATCCTCTTCAAAGAGAGAAAGAGAATTCACAGGATCCAAAGCAGGTCTTCTCCCCTGTTCTTCTCTCTAGCACCAGTTGCCTTTGGGTGATTTTGCAGGACTAAGACATCAAGCTCCTGCCCGTCAGTCAGAGGCACGTACGGCACACACGTATGCGCTTAAGCTGCTTAGGCCCCTGGAATATCATGGCCCTTCGGGAATCTCTCTCTGTGTTGAATGACAGATAGTTTACTCAAGCACGGCCAACAAATCAGCTCTCAAAGTGCTCTAGTGAAATGCAGCCCATTTCCAACTGATGGGAATTGAGAGGCTTCAATTCGATGCAAAGTCATACTCACCTGAGGACTCAAATACATCTATTTCTCAGTCCCTACAGTCCATAACACACTATATAATGACAACCATATTTCTTGCACATACAGTGGGCCCTTGGTATCTGCTGGGGCTTGATTCCAGGACCCTCTGTGGATACTGACATCTGTGGATGATTAAGTCCCATTGTACACAATGGTATCTACTGGGGTTTGGTTTTGTAGATGCTTATGTTGCATTATGTACATTGATATCTGCTGGGGTTTGCTTTCAGTATCCCTTGTGCATACTAACGTCTGAGAATCCCATTTTATACATTACAATGGTATCTATTGAGTTTTTCAGGTCATCCCATAGATACCAAGACCTGAGGATGCTCAAGTCCCATTATACACAGCTGTATCCTTTGAAATTTGGTTCCAGGACATCCCATGAATACCAAGATCTGAGGATGCTCAAGTCCCATTATATAGAATTGTATCTGCTATGGTTTGGTTTCAGAACATCCCATGGATACCGAGATCTGTGGATGCTCAAGTCCCATTATATACAGCCGTATCCATTGAGATTTGGTTCCAGGACATCCTATGGATACCAAGATCTGAGGATGCTCAGGCCCCATTATGTACAACTGTATCCACTGAAGTTTGTTTCCATGACGTCCCATGGATATCAAGATCTGTGGATGCTCAAGTCCCATTATATACAGCTGTATCCATTGAGATTTGTTTCCACGACATCCCATGGATACCGAGATCTTTGGATGCTCAAGTCCCATTATATACAGCTGTATCCATTGAGATTTGTTTCCATGACATCCCATGGATACCAAGATCTGTGGATGCTCAAGTCCCATTATATACAGCTCTATCCATTGAGATTTGTTTCCACGACATCCCATGGATACCGAGATCTGTGGATGCTCAAATTCCATTATATACAGCTGTATCCATTGAGATTTGTTTCCATGATATCCCATGGATACCAAGATCTGTGGATGCTCAAGTCCCATTATCTACACATACATCCATTGAGTTTTGTTTACAGGACCTCTTGTAAATACCAAAATCCATGGAAGCTCAAGACACAGTATGTAAAATGGCCTTATAAAATGTTGTAACCTTGGAATTTGTGTGGATGGTTGACTCCCTGGATGAAGACTCCATAGCAATAAAGCACTGATTGTACTTGCTTTTGCTCCACAAATGAAGGGGTCATGGGTAAGATTGATGAACCATCTGCTCCTGTGTGAACCTGCCTAAGCTTTGAGATCTTCTGGGGAGACCTTTTTCTATGGGTGCATTTACACTGTAGAATGAATGTGTTTTGACATCACTTGAACTGCTACAGATCAATGCTAAGGGATCATGGGAGATGTGCAAAGATGTTGCCCTTCTTTGCAAAAAGAATGCTGGTTCCTCTCTAAACTGCAACTCCAAAGATGGCATTGAGTTGTGGCGATTAAAGTAGTACCAAGCTGCATTCATTCTACAGTGCAGATGCATCTTATGCTTTACACTCTCATGGGCACATCTGTCATAATTCAGGTGGCATCAAACAACTGTTGCTGTGTAATTTTTAATAGAATAAGATGAGAGGTTTCAACCAATTGCAGAACTGTTGAGTAAGGGGCAAATGGACGGTCTTCATTTGGATTGGCTGGAATTCACCCATGGCTATGGATTTTGTGTTAAACTCAAAATGAAGAGTATCCTTTTTCCCTTCTCTCCTCCAGGATTGATTGTCTACCTGGGCATGATGGTCGGGGCTGTATTATGGGGTGGATTGGCAGACAAACTCGGCCGGAAGCAATGCCTCACCACTTTGCTTTCCATCAACGCTACCTTTGGCTTCCTCTCCTCCTTTGTACAAGGATATGGTTTTTTTCTCTTCTGTCGGCTTATCTCTGGTTTCGGGTAAGTCGTTGGCTCTTTGCAATACTGTTTCAGCTTGTTCTCATATGGGGAAGCATAGCATCATGGGAGGGACCCAAGGTTTTTACTAGGGGTGTGCAATTTTTCATTAGTTGTATCAAATTTGTTAAATTTGTACTTACGACACGTGGGCGTGGCCTTGCCAAAAACGTAAAAATCAAAACTCACCCAATACTTTTTTGTTTTAATTTTGTAAATCTCAGAAACCTCCTAAAGTCAGATTTATGTTCAATGCAAGGGGAAAAAAGCAAAGCCAAAAAGGCTGCCTTTCCTCTTTACATTAATAACCTCTCACCACGAGGAGAGGGAAGCAGCAGGGAGAAAGCAGAGTTCACTGGGAAAGAGACTGAGAAAGCACAGCATTCTGGGAAATGTAGTTTGGGAAGGTGAGGAGCCCTATGGCAGAGAATGCAAAAGGCCCTGCCCTGAACTACATTTCCCAGAATTCTGCTCAGCATTGGAAAGCCCCAATCAGGAGAGGGGAGAGATGTGCCCCTCCATTGCATCAGCCAGCCAGAGTTCCAATGAAGTGTTGAATCTGCAAAGAGGAGGATAGACTGATACTTCTAGTAAGCCAGTCTCTGTGCTGGGCTGGGAAGAAATCCCTCAATGAAAGTCCTATTGGTTCATATGAGAGAGAGAGAGAGAGAGAGAGAGAGAGAGATAGAGATAGAGAGAGAGAGGCATTTCATGAGATAGCTGTTGTGGCTTTCAAAAAAAGTGCTTGTCAATTTTTTAAAAAAAATTCCCTAAAATGAGTAGATATATGGATATTTCCAAAAGTTGGCGGGGGGGGGGGGGGGGGGGGAAGGATCCCTGTTATCTTGTGTCATTGTATAGAAAATTCAAGGACATCGCTCTTGTAGTTTTTTTTAAAATGTTGCTTATAAAAACTTTGAAAAGTCCCAAAACTCTGTGGAAAAGTAAAACATTTTGAAACTTCATGGGCTAACAGTGGTAAATGTGTTTTACCATTGTACCAAGTTTCACCCCAATAGCTTTACAAATGAGAGAGAAAGGAGTCCCTGACATTTCCCCACTTGAACAATTACTATAGTGAAAAAGTAACAAAATGTCGTTATTCTCATTATAGTAATGAAATTTTCACTAATGACACTTTAGAAACACTTTAAAAACAAAATGCCGGCACCCCCTAATTTTGTAATGACTTTTGAAACATTTTAAAATCCATTGCACATGCCTAGTTTTTTACTTTTAATGTTTTAAGGTGCTTCTAACATGTTTGTTATAGTAAATACCTGTTGCATATTTTAAAAAATGATTTTTTTTCTTGACTGTTTCCTTGACTCCTTAGCATTGGAGGCTCCCTCCCCATTGTGTTTGCCTATTTCTCTGAATTCCTATCCCGAGAAAAGAGAGGAGAGCACCTGAGCTGGCTCTGCATGTTTTGGATGGTCGGGGGACTATATGCTTCCATCATGGCCTGGAGCATCATTCCACATTATGGTAACAATTTCCGTGTCTGGATTACAAGGTCTTCGGATCCTTGGTGCATCTACACTGTGGAATGAATGCTGTTTGGCACCACTTGAACTGCCATGGCTCAATGTTGTGGGATCCTGCAGTTTGGCAAGGTCTTTAGCCATCTCTATTGAAGAAGGCTAGGACTTCACCCAATTCCAACTTCAAATGACTCCATTGCATTGAGCCACGGCAGTTCAAGTTGTGTCAAACTGAATTAATCCTGCAGTGTAGATGCATTCATAAATGTGGCACTCAGACCAGGATGTGGCCCACTTTATTTTTCAGCCAGGGCTCACATGGTTAAAGCGGTAGAACTTTTGGTTTAGCTATATCATCTGCTATCATTTGTTACCCATTGCCAGTCTTCCATGTTCTCTTTTAAGTTTTGTGCCATTCTCAGAGTAGTTGCTTGATAGTGTTGCCATGCTAAGAAAGCCCCATCCACGAATTATTTGGACCCAAACTGGAGATTGGAGGTTGACCTTGTGATATTTCACTCTCTTGTGTAACAACAGTAGAATGTATGACTGACTACTGTATTTATTTATTTATTTACAGTATTTATATTCCGCTCTTTTCACTCCACAAGGGACTCAGGGCGGATTACAATGTACATATACATGGCAAACATTAAATGCCATAGATACACAACATATATAGACAGACATTCAGAGGTTATTTAACATTCCAGCTTCTGGCCACCAGGGGAGCTGTTGCTTCACTGTCCGTTTGTGACACTGATGAAGTACTTCCTCGTTCTTTGCATACTTCCTGGAGATTTTTATGGCCTCATAAATCAGTTAAATTAGCCTCCCCAGATAAGTGGTACCTAAATTTCCTACTTGACAGATGCAACTGTCTTTCGGGCTGTAAAGTTTGACAAAAAGCTACACAATTTTGGTTGGGAGCTCTCTCCGATCCGGGCTGGCTTCGAACTCATGACCTTTCGGTGAGTAGTGATCTTAATGCAGCTGACTCCCAACCAGCTGCGCTACAGTCCCAGTTCTGTATTGATTTTAGTCATGCACTATTGCATCTAATGCACACCTCCATTTTCAAAACCCTGAAACAAAAAAAAAAAAAAACCCTGACCAATGTAATGCACAGTAGCATTAGAGTTGCTGCCTGCTTTGAATTCCTTCTTTAAAAACAAAAGTGTTAGAACACCAAAGTTTCCAGCAGCAGAAAAGAAAACCTTGGGGTGCAGCTATGCTGTAGAATGAATCCGCTTTAACTGCCTTGGTTCAATGCTATGTAGTCATGAGGACTGTAGTCTGACAAGGTCTTGAGCCTTCTCTGTCAAAGGATACTGGTGCTGCACCAAACTACAGAATGGTATAGTATTAAGCCATGGCCGTTAAATTAGAGATGACACTCCTCAAATAGAAGCTCCAGATGCAGCTCCTGAAGCATTTTCCCCTTTTGCTTTGGCTCAGCACTAGGATCTATCACACAGATCTAATGAGCGCCCTGATTTTGGCAAGTTCATTTAGTCAAAAAAGTGAGCATTAGATTTGAGTAAATAAGGTATTTTTTTTGTATCCCCCAATTTCTAGCATTGCAAACAGGGAGACATTGATGAGAATGGCTGAATGGATGGCACTTGCATTTGATACGGAAGGCATCAATTGGAATGTATTTTCAAGCAGCGATACATTGCTATTCCTTTTAGGCGGAAGGTTTAGGGATGTTGCACTTTGCAAACCACTCCTGGCTTTTGTCGGTCGCCATACTCTATGGAAAGTGAAAGACTATTATTATTATTATTATTATTATTATTATTATTATTGTCATTGTTGTTGTTATTATTATTCAGTCTCCATGCCAAACACCTCATATAATAATAATAATAATAATAATAATAATAATAATAATAATAATAATATACCTTGTCTCCTGTGCCCGGCCCTGTTTACCTCTCCGAACGTATTCTCCCCTACGAACCATCAAGACCACTAAGATCGTCTGGAGGGGCCCTGCTCTCGGTCCCACCGCCTGCACAAGCACGGCTGGTGGGGACGAGGGACAGGGCCTTCTCGATGGTGGCCCCTCGACTTTGGAACTCCCTGCCATTAGAGATCAGAACTGCCCCCTCCCTCATGACGTTCAGGAAACTAACAAAGACCTGGTTGTGGAATGCGACATTTGACAACTGATTTAATTCTTTGCCCACATGAAAGGAGGATGATGAATGGGATTGTGATGGTGTTGGACGATTTGGCTCTTTTAACTGTGATGATAATGTTTTAATGTGTATGGTGCTGATATTTTAATCGTGTAATGAAGTGGCATTGTGTTGTTATTGTATATTTTTGTATGTTAACACATGTTGTGAACCGGTCCGAATCCCTCTTTGAAGGTGAGAGGGTCGGTATATAAAACCTCGAAATAAATAAATAAATAAATAAATAATAATAATAATTATAATAATATAATATAATATATTGTATATACATATAATATTTATAATATTATAATGTAATGCAATATAATACTACTAATAATATGATATTATAATTATATATTTATATTGCATGTAATATTATTAATAATATTACAATATAATGGTATAGTACAATATAGTAATATTTAACACTGATATTGTACTATAATAATAATAATAATAATAATACTTTATTTATATCCCGCTACCATCTCCCAAGGGACTCAGTGCGGCTTACATGAGGCCGAGCCCACAACACATCAGTCACAAAGCAATAACAACAAATAATACAAAGCAATAAAATAAAACTCATAACAAAAAAGCAATAAACATTAACAATAACACAGCAACAGTTAAAACCTATGGCTGGGCCAGATGCAATAATTAAAATTTAAAGATAATGCTGAGCATGAATAGATGAATATGAACTAGGATAGAGTTTTCAGAGAGGGATAGGGCAGGCAGACATTCCTAGATCCATTGTAAAGTGCATTTAGAGGACATAATGCTGGGAGTTTCCTTATTCTGGGAACAACCACGTTTTTAGGCTCCTCCTAAAGACTGCCAGAGTTGGGGCATGCCTGATGTCCTTGGGGAGTGAGTTCCATAGTCGAGGGGCCACCACCGAGAAGGCCCTCTCCCTTGTCCCCACCAATCGCGCATGCGATGGAGTTGGGAGCGCGAGCAGGGCCTCTCCAGATGATCGAAGGGGTCGTGTGGGTTCGTACACAGAAATGCGATCACGCAGGTAGGAGGGTCCCAGCGTTCAGGGCTATGCTAATAATATAATATATTGTATGTATATATATCTTGTAAGCCACTCTGAGTCCCCTTCGGGGTGAGAAGAGCGGCATATAAATGTCATAAATAAATAATAAATAAATTATGCCAAGAATTTTTGTGTTTGCATATCAAGCATGCCCTCTAACACTGAGATGTGTTCCCCCCCCCCCTTCTAGGATGGGGATTCAGTATGGGGACCAATTACCACTTCCACAGCTGGAGGGTCTTTGTGGTGGTCTGCTCCCTCCCCTGCATAGCATCTCTCATAGCCCTCAAGTTCATGCCAGAAAGTCCACGGTTTTTGCTAGAGGTAAGGAATGCGATCGGGAAATGGCAACGTAAGTGCTTCTGATACGGAACATGCAAAGGGCTTTCTTGAGTATAGTAGACGTCATGGGGAAGTGTACTCTTCCTGCTCTTAGAAGCATTTCAAACATGACTCACTTTGGTCTTTCTAGATCGGAAAGCATGATGAAGCCTGGATGATCCTCAAGCAAATCCATGACACCAATATGAGAGCGAAAGGCGAGCCAGAAAGGGTGTTTACGGTGAGCAGAAGCTCCTTATAGTCCAGGGATTGAAAATGCAAGGATGGTTTTCTCCTATTCCATTCTTTACTGATATTTTGAAAAACACATATCCAAGTCTTGTTGAGGCACAGTGCCCAAAGGAGGAGATTAAAATACAATAGTTTAATTGGTTTGTTCACTGATGGGTCTATAGATCATAATAAATACTGTGTGTGTGTGTGTGTGTATATATATATAATGGAGCCCCCAGTAGCGCAGTGGGTTAAAATGCTGAGCTGCTGAGCTTGTTGACCGAAAGGTCCCAGGTTCGAATCCGGGGAGCAGTGTGAGTTTCCGCTGTCAGCCACAGCTTCTGCCAACCTAGCAGTTCAAAAACATGCAAATGTGAGTAGATCAATAGGTACCGCTCCAGCGGGAAGGTAACAGTGCTCCATGTAGTCATGCTGGCCACATGACCTTGGAGGTATCTATGGACAAGGCTGGCTCTTCGGCTTAGAATTGGAGATGAGCACCACACCCCATTCAGGCACGACTGGAGTTAATGTCAGGGGAAAACCTTTACCTTTACCTCTCTCTCTCTCTCTCTCTCTCTATATATATATATATATATAATGTAATTTGCAGAAAATACTAAGGGGTGGATGTATAATAGTCAGGTACCGCACAATTGTTCTTGCATCATGGGTTTTATAGTTAACCAAATTCATTAAAGTAAACACGCACATGCGCAATCAAACCTTTTCCTTCTTTCCCATCTGCACTTTTCCCCCTTCTTAAATCTATCCTCCAGTTCAGTGTCTCTGTGTCCCTTTTATTCTTAAACAGCCTGTTTTTATGAAAACAATCTTTCTCAAAACCATCTCTTTCAGGTCATTTTGATCTCTTCTTCACCTTTCACCCATTTCTTTTCTCCTGGTGCTTGGCAACTGCTTTCTCTCCCAAATTACTTCACTCTTCATGCTCTTCTCACCCCTTCATCCCTTCTCTTTAACCCATTCTTTTTCTTGTAAAAATCACTTTTTACCTCTTTGCTCCTTCAGTTTAACCTTCACTATATGTTAAATGAAAGCACATACCTACGTTTTGCATATTTCTAGGGGTCTGATTACAGTCAACCTTCCTCATTTGCTGGTTGATCTGCATGGATTTAATTATTTACAATTGGATGAAAATGTTCTCTTTAGGAATCTCTAGATCAGGAGTCCTCAAACTATGGCCCGGGGGCCGGATACGGCCCTCCAAGGTCATTTACCCGGCCCTCGCTCAGGGTCAACCTAAGTCTGAAAGCACACAACAACAACAATCCTATCTCATCAGCCAAAAGCAGGCTCACACTTCCCATTGAAATACTAAGTTTATATTTGTTAAAATGGTTCTTCATTTTAATTATTGTATTGTTTTTAAGTGTTTTTTGAACTACAGATAAGATATGTGCAGTGTGCATAGGAATTCATTCATGTTTTTTAAAAATTATAATCCGGCCCTCCAACAGTTTGAGGGACTGTGACCTGGCCCTCTGTTTAAAAAGTTTGAGGACCCCTGATCTAGATCCTTGGATCATCTTCTGCTAGATGTTGTCCATAGAGTTATGCCACAAGACCTTGAGATCCCTAAAGAAAATACACCTCTAGATATCTATAAGCCCTCCAGCACAACTCTATAGTCAACTGGAGATTGGGAAGCACAATGAAGCTTCCCAGTTTCCAGTTGGATCTCTAATCTCAAGTGGAGATTCCTAGGAGATGTTCACTCAGATATAATAAAAGCAGGCTTTTAAGTCACAATTTCCCCATTTTTGTAGGAGTTCTGAGCCCCTAACCCCAGCAAATGTGAAGAACTAGTTGTTAGTCTTTGGTATTTTGGGTGGGCAAAATATCTAATACAAAATATCTAAAATATCTAACAATGAATTTAGGTGGACAATGAGGATTTTTCCAAGCTTATGTGCATGTCACAATTCCCACCTGGAATTACTCTGTTTCTCTCATTGGAGATTTTGATTAAGGATTCAAAAAGACATTTCTTTTGAGAACTAGATTTCACTTTCAAGATGTATTTAGAACTGTCAAATTGGCAGCTGTAACTTCTTCTTGCCTTTTTAGGTGGCCAACATCAAAACTCCAAAGCAGATTGATGAATTCATTGAAATCCAGAGCTCAACAGGGACGTGGTATCAGCGTTTTTTGGTCAGAGCCACAACTACGCTCAAACAGGTATGGGATGGCATGATGTGGCTATGGGATACAAATATATATCTGCCACAACTTAGGTTTCAGGACCTGCGAGAGCTCCAATGAAGCCTAGATGAAAACTTGGAACATCCCACAAACACGGGATCCTTGAATCCAATACTGAAACCACTACACTGCTAGTAGTTTTCCTCTAATTAAAATAATTAATATATAGACTGAGCTGAAGAAAAATAACATTGTTATTTGTATATCTATGATTTTTAGCAGAATGTAATTCACTACTTTGAAATTAGTGCAATGAAACAGGATCAGTCTATCCATTCATCCATCATCTGTCTATCTCAGTATTTCCCAACCTTTGGTCCTCCAGGTGTTTTGACTGCAACTCCCACAATTCCTAACAGCTGGTAATCTAGTTAGGATTTCTGGGAGTTGAAGTCCCAAACACCTGGAGACCAAAGGTTGGGAAACACTGGTCTATCTTAAACATATTTGGCTTTTGTATGACACAGGGATATGAAATTGATAACATAAATGAATATTATTTCTCTTTTTGCTAAAGCATACCAAAATCTACACCAGAAGTCTGTCTTAAACCAGTTCTATGAGCAAATTGTTTGTAAAATTTTGTATTATTTAAGTTGGTTCCAATAAAAGTATTGTCCAACTTTGGATTTTTTAAAAACTCTTTCTATTTTCCACTCTAGGTTTTGGACAATGTGCTTTATTGTTTGACAGCCCAGTATAGAATGAATACGCTCTTTCTGGCAATTGTGTGGTTTTCTATGGCCTTAAGGTATGTGTCCTGACTGCTCATGTATCTTTTTAACAGTGGTTAGCCAAGGCATGCTTACATGAGGCGAGTTGTTATTATTGCCAACAAGTCAACTTTGATTTATTTTATTGTGTGTGATTCAGTCCTTAGGTTGACCCTATGAATGAGGTACCTTCAAAAGTATCTCAGGTCATCGACTGTCCTGCTTCAGTCTTGCAAACTTGTGGTCTGATCTCTGTTTTTTCCTATTGCATCTCAGTTTATGTTCTTTTCCAATGAATTATGTTCAAAGTAAAACAGCCTCACTTTGGCTGTTGCACTCCAGAACTGGAAATAGCCCCTCTGACTAAAACACACCACATGTTGAGTGAAGGAACAATCCTTTTTATTAAAGCTTAGTAAAAAAAGCCAGTAGAAATAAATGCTTGTAACAATAGATAAGATTCCAAAATGCAATAAGGCATTCATAGGCAGCCAGATAAAACAGTGTCCAAAACGTAGCAATTAGAAGCAATGTCCAAAAAGCATGAGAATATAATCCAAGGCAATGATATCCAGACAGGAGTCAAACAAGAACCAAGAACAGACCAGATGCTGGTAGTCACCTGGAAAGGCTAGAAAAATCCATGAAGACAAGACCACTTGAGCAGAAATTCCTTGAGGCTTATGCAAGTTTTCCAAACGATGCCTGATCTGACAATCGTTAAATTCCAAAAACTGGTTTCGCTTTCCAGCAGGCTTTGACTTCAATTGATGAATTCTTTCAGACCTACGTAAACATTGGGCCTCTTGTCAATTCTGGCTAATCTCCAGCCGCCAACTCTACTTATCTGACTCCTCATTAACTTTCCCAGGTGCCAGACTGTTTTGCAAACTAGAATCTGAAGAGCTCAGAGGCGGAGGGAGTAAAACTTCCTCCCAAGGCCTGAACGAAACATTCTCATGAGAACCTGGCACCAAAGCCTCTCTGTCAGTGTCTGCATGAAACCTATTGACCAAAGTGTCTCCATCTTGCACCTCAGAGTCAGCCCCAGCATCCCCCACATCAGAAGCAACAGGAGACTGATTTCCTTCCTCATTACCCACATCAGGAGACAGTAACACAATTGCAGGTTCAGGAGACTGAAACACCATCACAGGTTCAGGTTCAATCACAGGCTGAGCCCCAACACTGTCCCCCCCAAGCCCCCCCCCCCAAGGCTGGGGCATAGCAGGGTAAGCCCGGTGGAACCGAGCTACCAGATCATGGGCATGCAAATCGCGAGCATCTACCCAGGAACGCTCCTCTGGCCCAAACCCAGTCCAGTCCACCAGATATAGCAATCTTTGACGACGAAAGCAAGAAACCAAAATGTCTTCAACTTCAAACTCTTCCTCCCCATCCCGCAGTACAGGAGGAGGTGGCAGTCCCCTACCTGCATCTGGCCGTACCCCTTTCGCCGGACATAGCAAAGACCGGTGAAACACGGGATGAATACATATGTCCCTGGGGAGTTGTAACTTGAACGTCACTGGGTTGATCTGAGCCACCATATGATAAGGTCCCACAAACCGCACATCCAACTTTCGGCAAGGTCTCTGGAGGGGGAGATGTTTAGTGGACAACCAAACCCGGTCACCCTCCTGAATCTCCGGCCCCTCTTGCTGATGTTGGTCAGCTATACAATTGTAATCCAACTTGGCTTTCTCCAACTGAGCCTTGAGAACTTCATGTTAATTCTTGTAGCCAATCTTCTGCTGTGGGAACATTTCCCGATTCCACCATCGGTGGGTAGAAACGGGGATGGTATCCATAGTTTGCAAAGAAAGGAGCTTCCTTGGTAGAACTCTGTGTCAAGTTGTTGAACGAGAATTCTGCCAGGGAGAGCAAGGACGACCAATTGTCATGTTGATAGTTGACATAACACCGTAGATACTGCTCCAGGGTAGCATTGGCTTCTAGGGAGAGCTCAAAGTGCTTGGTTTGCTCTACAATCCTGTTCACATTTACCTTTTTGATAATCTAGGGTATCCACCAGAAAAACTTTTCTAAAATTTTAGACACAAACATTTACACTGCACTATGTTCCTCCACTTTAGATCACTATCTGTTGTAGACACCGAGATAAAATCTCACATTTGTTGCATTCCAAGAATCAATTTTATTTGTGAAAGAATTGAAAGAACTCATAAGTCATTCAATTGATCTAGTTCTTTCCAAAACATGACAATGACACATAAACCTGTTGACCCATGGTAAGAGTACTTGTTTAAGTAAACTAGCTATTTCAAAACAAGATGGGGGAAACAAGAGGAAGTAATATCTTGGAAAATGACATCTTTAATTCTGCTTCTCTTCCAGTTACTATGGCCTTGTTGTCTGGTTCCCGGACATGATACGGTATTACCAAGAGGAAGCATATAAATCCCGTGAGAAAATCTTTTACCAGGAATCAGTGAAGGACATCACCTTCAACTTCACCCTAGAAAACCAGGTCCACAAGAATGGGACATATATCAATGACAAGTGAGTGGGTGAATATCAGTAATACCAGTATGGATAGTATGGGTCATATGGACTAACTGTGGACACGAGTCTGTTATGAGTGCTGGCATGTATTCAGTTGGACCTGCCTTCTTCAACAGGTGTGTTTGACCCATAGGTTTGTTGGAGGACCACAGAAGGTCTTCCTGGTCAGATATCAATCATGTTTGGTCTGAGGTGCCCTGTAGACCTGTGATCCTGAGATGGTGACCCATTCTCAATTTAACAAACTGTTCTGTCTTTTATGAGAACACTTCTTCCATTTTTCAACTGGCCCCTTATAGTTGTGCTTGACCCATATGTCTTTTGGTGGATGAGAGAAGTCCTTCCTGGTTGGAGATCAATTCATCCTTGGCTCATGCATTGTTCATGGAGGCCTGTGGACCTTGACCATGGGATGGTGAATCTGTTCTCAGTTTTACAGACCACTCTGCCCTCTATATGGACTGTCCTATCCTGGATCCATACAATCTTGAAAAAACTTCAGGGAGAAAGGCTTGAGAAAACTTTGATGGTGCTTTCTGGGAAGTAACGTACTTTTCAGGTTTCCAAGCAAATAGCTTTGGCTACTTTTGGAACGAGAGACTTTCTTAGGATCAGTTCTAGAGAGGTTGGTATGTTTTTGGATGCTCCAAATGTTTATTAAAGGTCCATGAAGGCACTTTGAAAATGAAAAATCTGTAGTTGGATATCCTAAGCACATAGACAGTGTAGGATTCCTACAAGGGAAATGTATATTTGAAAAGCTGAGGATTGTTGGCTCTCCATGAATTGCCTCCCCATAGGTTCAACCATCCATGGCTTGAAGATATTTTTTAAAAATGGAAAAAACAAACCTTGATTTTGTGATTGTACATAAGGGACACCATTTTAATACACCTTCTTATATAATAGGACTTAAGCATCCATAGGTTTTGGTATCCACAGTGGGGTCCTGGAACAAAAGCCCAGTGGAAACCAAGGGCCCACTATACAATAATGCCCACTTTGTCAGAGGCGCTAAATAATACTTGGGTATAAATGGATGGGCACATATATAAGAGCCTGGGAAAGATACCTTTTGAAACTCTGCTCCCAGAATATCACAGTTCTTTAGATATGTGTAAGCCAGCCCTGGCTTACACATATCTAAAGGTTTGGAGGAAAACATCTCAAAGACTGAGAGATCTGCAACGTATTTTAATGTACAAGTGAAAATAATGGTCATTATTTTTATTCTGTCTTTTATTGCAGACTTTCAGGATGTCATACAGATAAAATAATAAACAATGTAACACAAATGCCATATCAAAACAATAAACTAGCTTAACTAGGACAAAAACAGATTAAACATGATTATAGATGCCTCGTTCATGTAGAACCCCACTGAGTTCTAAATGAGGATAATCAAACAAGTTGATCCATTTTTGTTCTGCATTGGCCTCCAAAGAGCGGTAGATGTGAATCCCATTGGTAGGATTCCCAACTAATGAATTGCTGAATTGTGGCACAAAACATGTAGATAAATCCCTTTGCATCAATGTGTCTATTCTAGTCAGGACTAACAAACGGATGCTAAGCATGATGTTTCTTTTCATCTTTGGAAATGCTGACATCTAGCGTCTCTGTGAAATAAAGCAAGGCATGGAATCATAGAATAGAATCATAGAAACAAAGAGTAGGAAGAGACCTCATGGGCCATCCAGTCCAACCCCATTCTGCCAAGAAGCAGGAATATTGCATTCAAATCACCCCTGAGAGATGGCCATCCAGCCTCTGTTTAAAAGCTTCCAAAGAAGGAGCCTCCACCACACTCCGGGGCAGAGAGTTCCACTGCTGAACGGCTCTCACAGTCAGGAAGTTCTTCCTCATGTTCAGATGGAATCTCCTTTCTTGTAGTTTGAAGCCATTGTTTCGCGTCCTAGTCTCCAGGGAAGCAGAAAACAAGCTTGCTCCCTCCTCCCTGTGGCTTCCTCTCACATATTTATACATGGGTATCATATCTCCTCTCAGCCTTCTCTTCTTCAAGCTAAACATGCTCAGCTCCTTAAGCCGCTCCTCATAGGGCTTGTTCTCCAGACCCTTGATCATTTTAGTCGCCCTCCTCTGGACACATTCCAGCTTGTCCAGCTTGTCTGGACACATTCCAGCATGATCTGGCTCCCTGTAATATTTTCCCCAGGTATCCTTTTAAGATGCAAAGCAGAGGTGAAACAACACAATGTAACAAAAATGTTCTGTTCCAAAGTATTATTTCCTGGTTTATTTTTATTTCGTATCAAAAGCATTGCATAAATTAGTATAAAACTGATAAAAATAGAGGAGCACAGGTGGCTAAGTATCTTTTGACCAAAACCAGGCAACAGCAATGACATTGTCTGTAGCCTCCAACAATTCCTCCTCTGTACATGAGGCAGGGCATAGTGGACAAGCATACAGATGCAGAGTTGTCTGTTTTGCTCCACAGTTACACAAGGTGTGGGATTCTTTTAGGTAGTACCATTTTGCCAGGTTGTCTTTCGATCTGCCCACTCCACTTCTGAGTGTATTTAGGGACTTCCAAGTTGCCCATTCCTGGTTTGCCCCTGGAGGAAGATCCTTGTGGGGAGCCATCCAGTTGGGATTTCCTGGTTTAGCTGCCCAGAGGGATACCCCTGCTGTTGCTGGAGGGATGCCAAGAGGAGTGGAGATATTGACAAGCTGGAATGTGTCCAGAGGAGGGCGACTAAAATGATCAAGGGTCTGGAGAACAAGCCCTATGAGGAGTGGCTTAAGGAGCTGGGCATGTTTAGCCTGAAGAAGAGAAGGCTGAGAGGAGATATGATAGCCATGTATAAATATGTGAGAGGAAGTCATAGGGAGGAGGGAGCAAGCTTGTTTTCTGCTGTCCTGGAGACCAGGACGCAGAACAATGGCTTCAAACTACAAGAAATGAGATTCCATGTGAACGGAAGAACTTCCTGACTGTGAGAGCCATTCAGCAGTGGAACTCTCTGCCCCTGGAGTGTGGTGGAGGCTCCTTCTTTGGAAGCTTTTAAACAGAGGCTGGATGGCCATCTGTCATGGGTGATTTAAATGCAATATTCCTGCTTCTTGGCAGGGAGTTGGACTGGATGGCCCATGAGGTCTCTTCCAACTCTTTGATTCTATGATTCTAGTTCTCATAAAGCTTTCCCTTGATTTGAGTCTGCTGGGAGGAGGCTAGTACCCATGTAGTGGGTGGCTTTCACAGTGTTCAACCTTATTTCTCTCACATTTAGCAGCAACTTCCCATTGCACATCAGGAGGGGCAATGCTAGCTAGCTTGTAGAGTTTATCAACAGGTGTAGGTTTAAGACACCCTGTGATTATTCTGCATGTTTCATTCAATGCTATGTTCACCTGCTTTGCATGGGCAGACCTATGACAAACAGGGCAGGCATACTCAGCAGTTGAGTAAGACAAGGCTACGGCTGATGTTCTTACTAATTTTGGGTCTGTACCCCATGTGCTGCCAGTAAATTTCTGTAGGATGTTATTGCGTGCAGCTACTTTGTGCTTGGTGTGCTAGTGTTCGATCTAAGGTGACACTGAGATATTTAGGATGGAAACAATGTTCAAGTTCTTGACCTTCCCAAGTGACTTTCAATTTCCTGTTGGCTTCATGGTCCTGGTTAAGTCTACAGACCATACTTTGAAAGTAGTTGCTCTACTCCAGAATCTTCATTTTTGTGGCACAAACTATGTTGAATTGGTTGAGACTAGATTATGGTTGAAAAACTATCTTGTAATAATTGAAAAACTATCACAAAATGTGCTGCAGGATGTCCCTCCTACAAAGACAAAGTTTTTGCAGTTTAATAAACCTTTTCCGTGTTTTTTTTTAAATGGCAGAACCAATTAGGAAATGACATTTGTAACCCAGGAACAAAAATTGTGTTACATAGTGTCAGATGATGGATGAGAATGAGAGCTCTCCTACAAACCTTTCTTTCTTATTGATAGGTTTCTAGTTCCGTTTCTCAATTCCATCTCCCTGGATTTCAATGGCTTCTCTGTGTAGTCTGACATGGTGGTTGTTAGAGTGGTCCAGCATTTCTGTGTTCTCAATAATATGCTGTGTCCAGGCTGGTTCATCAGGTGCTCTGCTATGGCTGACTTCTCTGGTTGAATTAGTCTGCAGTGCCTTTCATGTTCCTTGATTTGTGTTTGGGTGCTGCGTTTGGTGGTCCCTATGTAGACTTGTCCACAGCTGCATGGTATATGGTAGACTCTGCAAAAAGAATCTGCGAACCCCACCTCCTCCAAGATGAACTGAACCACCGCAACTGGGCTCTCCAGGCCAATGGATACTCCACCTCAGACATCAGAAGAGCTGCAAGACCAAGAACAAGCCACGAGAGTAAAGATGAAGATCCACCCAGAGGAAAAGTGTTCCTGCCATACATCAAGGGAACCACTGATCGCATAGGGAAGCTGATGAGGAAACACAACATACAAACAATCTACAAACCCACCAAGAAAATCCAACAAATGCTACGTTCAGCAAAGGACAAGAGGGATCCTCTCACCTCTGCAGGAGTCTACCGTATACCATGCAGCTGTGGACAAGTCTACATAGGGACCACCAAACGCAGCGCCCAGACACGAATCAAGGAACATGAAAGGCACTGCAGACTACTTCAACCAGAGAAGTCAGCCATAGCAGAGCACCTGATGAACCAGCCTGGACACAGCAATATTATTTGAGAACACAGAAATGCTGGACCACACCAACAACCACCATGTCAGACTACACAGAGAAGCCATTGAAATCCACAAGCATGTGGACAATTTCAACAGAAAGGAAGAGACCATGAAAATGAACAAAATCTGGCTACCAGTATTAAAAAAACTTTAAAATTACAACAGCAAAATAACAGAGAGGAAACAACCAGGCACATCTTAACACCTCTCAGCAAGAGATTTTCCCAGGCTCAGCCAGGCCTTCAAATGCTAATGAAGGTGATCAGCTAAACATTCACACCTAACTGCAGCAGGGACGAGCTCCTTGCCCCACCCCAGCCATTCCACAGATATATAAACCCATTTTGTCCTATTCCAACAGACCTCACTACCTCTGAGGATGCTTGCCATAGATGCAGGCGAAACGTCAGGAGAAATGCCTCTAGAACATGGCTCTATAGCCCGAAAAAAACCCACAAGAACCTAGTTCAAACTTTTTTTTTAATTTTCCTTTATTTTCCTGATTCTTTTTATTTAGTGGGACTAACTGAGAGTTGGGAAGCTGAGGGACGATGGGTGGGGTGCGCACGCGCTTTTGGGGGCTTGGAGAGTCACCCTTTTTGCTTCTTTTTCTCCTTCCTTTCCTCTCCTTCAGAAAATATTTCTAAAAGATAATAAAAATTATAATAATAATCCCAGCACACAAAAAAGAGAATAATAATAATAATAATAATAATAATAATAATAATAATAATAAGCAACTGTATTTGTACCCCGCCACCATCTCCTCAAAGGGGACTCGGGGCGGCTAACATGAGGCCAAGCCCAAATTTACAGTATAGCAAAATAAAATACAAAGAAGCAAAAATAACATCAAAATAATATACATGAAATAGCAAAATAAAATAAACAGTTACAAAATAACATAATAGAGAAATAAAATGAATGTGGTAGCAAAGAAGGAGAGAGAAGGGTAAAATTAAAGATACCAACACAAAAAAATAACTGTGTACATCATTATTATTTCCAAATGTTTGAATTTTCTTTTCTTTTCTTTTTGCTTGTGTTTTTTTCTCTTTATTAGTTATATTGTTGTAGTTGTGATTTAGGATTTTGGAATTTTTAGGAATAAAAATCTATTAAATAATAATAGAGAGATAAAACACAATGGACGGGCCAAATGCACAGAATAAAATTGATAAAACCTTGGATGTGATAGTGGAGGGAAAATGTGTTTCCGAGGGAGGAGCTCAAAAGGGGCAAACAGTGAAGTTAGACCTGTTTTGAGGGCAGGGGGAAAGAGCATCATGAGGACGGAACTGTAGTTGGAACAGACAAAATATGGAATATATGTTCACTCGCCAATGGAAGCCTACCTCTCCTCTAGAGTATAAGGTTTGGGGAAGCAAAATTCCAAGCAGAAAGGAGATTGCAGGCAGTAGAGAGAAGGGATTTTTAAGGTTGTCCAAGGATGATAGCTCCACAGGTCATCACTCTTCCTTCTGGGGGATCTTCTGGTATCTGGCAAGCAGAAATGGGTAGCGATTCACCTGAAATGCACAAGCCTAATATTTAGAATGTCATAGAACCTTAGTAGCCATCTACACTGTGGAATTGATGCAGCTTGACACCACTTTAACTGCCATGGTTCAATAGCTATTCTTTCCAACCCTCTAGGTTCATGAAAATGAAATTCCGGGATGTAACCTTTGAGGATTCGGTGTTTGAGGAGTGCTACTTCGAGGACGTCACCTCCAGTGAGACCTTCTTCAGAAACTGCATCATTATCAGAACTGTCTTTTTTAACACAGGTAAGGTGGAAGGGTGTGTTTGTTGGTGGGTGCGCAAGGATAAAACCAACCTACATTTGCCTTAAAGGATGGGCAAAGGACTATGTTTGAGTTGGATATGGCTTCCTAACCTTACAAATACCCCACTAAAAAAAATTGGCATATATTTTGGTGGTTTTGCTGTTGCTGTTGGGTGCCTTCAAGTCATTTCTGACCTATAGTGAGTCTGTCTAGGGTTTTCTTGGCAAGATCTGATCAGAGGGAATTTGCCTTTACCTTCCATTGAAATAGAAAGTATGACTTTCCTAAGGCCACTCAATGGGTTTCATTGTCTAGCAGGGATTCGATTCCTGGTCTCCAGAAGCGTAGTCCAACTCTGAAGCCGATACACCAGGCTGGACTCCCTGAGTGATTGTCCAAAAATGCCCCCAAAATTCTCAAACCTGGCCCAAAACATGGTGTTTATAGCCTTCCACTGTCTCTTCCTCCAACAGATCTCTATGAACACAAATTCAAAGAGTGCACATTTGTGAACTCCACCTTCTTGGAGCAGAAGAAAGGGTGTCACCTGGATTTCGAGCGAGACAACGATTTTCTCATTTACTTAGTCAGCTTCTTAGGGAGCCTCTCGGTGCTACCTGGCAATATCATCTCAGCACTTCTGATGGACAAAGTTGGAAGAATCAAGATGATAGGTGAGTTCTAGATCTGACTGCATATCCATCAGTCATCCTAGTTGAGGAGGAGCAGCCTTGGTGAAGTCACAATTGCCCTGCTTTCTTAGTTCTCCTTCATCCTCCCAATTTCCCCCTCCATCTCTGCGTTACTTCAATGGCTGCAAACCAAAGGTGCATCTCCACTGTAGGATGAATGCAGTTTGACACCATGCAATGGCTCAATGTTACGGAATCGTGGGAGTGGTAGTTTTATAGGATGTTCAGTCTTCTCTACCAAAAAGTACTGGTGCCTCACCAAACTGCAACTCCCATGAGCCATAGCAGTTAAAACAATGCTGAGCCGCATTCCTTCTACAGTGGAGACACACGCTAAATTCATTCCAAGGATGTATGTACTTTACATTCAAGGTAGAAGGAGAGAAGGAGAACTCTTGTGGATTCTAGGTTCAGCACATAAATCCAAGTTTTGTGTGTCCTTACACATCAACAACTTTTGGTCTTCTATCACCTGCGACACCATTTTGATGTAGCTCGATCACAAATATCCTGCTACTAAGGAGTCTGTCCACGTCCTGAGATGGTGCTTGGCCACTATGATGGTCTGGATGAGAGTGAACAATTTGAAATTGAATCCAGACAAGACAGAGGTACTCCTGGTCAGTTGCAAGGTCAAACAGGGCATAGGGTTACAGCCTGCGTTGAACCTGAAGACGCAGGTTCGCAGCTTGGGAGTGATCCTGGATTCATCGCTGAGCCTGGAACCCCAGGTTTCTGTGGTGACCAGGGGAGCATTTGTACAGTTAAAATTTGTGTGCCAGCTGCGCCCGTACCTTGGGAAGTCTGACTTGGCCACAGTAGTCCATACATTATTTTCAATTTTAATTTTACATTTGGCCTTCCCATAGTTTTAATCATGTGTTGTCTTACTGTTAAGGTTTACGTTATTTTATTGTCCATGTTTTATTTTAATTGCTTGTATTGTTGTTATTATTGCTTGTATTGTTGTGTTTGGGTTCGGCCTCATGTAAGCTGCACCGAGTCCCTTGGTGAGATGGTAGCAGGGTACAAGTAAAGTTTTATTATTTTATTATTATTATTATATTATGCTGGATTTCATATCACAAAATCACAAGTTGAACACTTCCCAAGTGTCTAGGACTTTGTGATATTATTATTATTATTATTATTATTATTATTATTATTATTATTATTATTGTGCCATACTTGCTGTGAGGGTTTCTCAGAGAGTCCAAAAAAGAAACTCTTTGGGCCTGTGCTTCAGGATACAAGTAAATGCTATTTCTGTGCATTTGACTCACCTCCAAAACTCACGTTTTACCTTTCCACCCTTTTCTCTGTCTTGCAGGGGGCTCTATGCTGATTTCTGCTGTCTGCTGCTTCTTCTTGTTCTTTGGCAACAGCGAGTCGGCCATGATCGGCTGGCAATGCCTCTTTTGTGGCACTAGCATTGCTGCCTGGAACGCCCTGGATGTCATCACCGTGGAGCTGTATCCCACACATAAAAGGTGACCTTTCCTCCTGATCTCTTTTAAGTGGAATGGAGGACCATATGTAGAAGTTTTAGTAGCTTAGATCTTGGGAAGTTCAAGGCAGAGCTTAAATCCAATACTTTTAAAGAAAAGTTCTTCCAGCACATTCATTTGAGAGAAAGAAGGAAGGTTGGGTTGGGGCCAGACCAGAGTGGAAACTCTCTTTTTCACTCTTGAGGAACTACTTGCGTATGGCGACACTGGATACATCCTTACACAAGCCCATAACCTCTACTCACACAATTGGCAGTAATACAAGTTAGTTGGTTTGTATCTAAGGATCACACAGTCTTAGAGCATTGTTCTACAGCAGCAGTAGGAAACAATTTAAACAAACTCAAGATATAAGAAATAATCTAATACATGAAAACAAGACAGTTAAAATGGCAGAAAAAATTTCAAACCATGATAGATATATAGATTTCTTTTTGGAAAAATCACAGAGACCTCAATGGCTTTAGTAATGCCATTTGGATAGTGCATTCTAAAACTGAGAAACAAAAGCCTTCTACTATGTCTCTTCACAGTATATTAACCCCATTAACATTTTCCAAAATCAGTAATAGCTGTGTAGTTATTGTTTATATATACATAGTAGGACTTTGCAAAATTATTGTTAGTCCTTGTAAGTTGTATCAAATTCATTACATTCGTACTTACAATGTGATATGTGATGCACGGGTGTGGCCTGCACCAAAAATTAAGAATAGAAACTTACCCAATAATTTCTCAGTTGCATTTTGTAACCCTTGGAGCAAAGCCAGAAAGATTGCCTTTCCTCTTCAAATGAATGGCTTCCTGCCATGAGGAGAGAGAAGCAGCAGGGAGAAATCAGAATTTACTGGAAAAAGAACTGAGAAAGTATAGAATTGTGGAAAATGTAGTTTGGGAAGGCGAGGAGCCCTATGCTAGAGAATGCAAAAGGCCATGCCCTAAACTACATATCCCAGAATTCTGCTCAGCATCAGGGGGCCCCAATCAGGAGAGGGAGAGATGTGACCCTTTGTCGCAGCAGCTAGCCAGAGTTTTATATATATATATATATACACACACACGTTTTTGTCAAAGCTTTATAAAATTCCATAAAATCAGACATGAATATTTCTGAAAGTTGGGGAAAACGATTCCCTGTTACCTTGTGTCATTGTATAGAAAATTCAAAGAGATTGCTCTTGTAGTTTTTTTTAAAAAAGATCTTGTTTTAAAAACTTTGGAAATATCCAAAAATCTGTGGATTAGTGAAACATTCTAAAAGTGATGGGCTAACAGTGGTAAATGTCTTTTCCCACTGTAACAAGTTCGATCCCAATAGCTGTGAAAATGAGGGAGAAAGGAGCCTCTAAAGTTTCCCCACTTGCGTAATTCCTATAAAAAAAAAGTAACGAAATTTCATTATTCTCATTATAGTGACTGAATTTTCACTAACGATACTTTAGAAACACTTTAAAAATGAAATGTTGGCACCCCTAACTTTGTAATGAGCTTTGAAACATTTTTTCATCGATCACACAGCCCTAATAGATAGAAATTCATTCCTTGCAATATGGTGCATAGAGTCTTCTATACCAGGAGTCCTCAAACTAAGGCCCAGTGGCAGGATACGGCCCTCCAAGTTCATTTACCCAGCCCTCGCTCAGGGTCAACCTAACTCTGAACTGATTTGAAAGCACACAACAACAACAACCCTATCTCATCAGCCAAAAGCAGGCCCACACTTCCCATTGAAATACTCATAAGTTTATATTTGTTAAAATTGTTCTTCATTTTAATTATTGTATTGGTTGTTTGTTTGTGTTTTTGCACTACACATAAGATATGTGCAGTGTGCATAGGAATTCATTCATGGTTTTTTTTTCAAATTATAATCTGGCGCTCCAACAGTTTGAGGGACTGTGACCTGGTCCTCTGTTTAAAAAGTTTGAGGACCCCTGGTCTATATGATCTCGACCTTGAGCTACAACTCCCAGAATACTCCAGCTAGCATGGGCCAAAATATTCTGGGAAGTGAAGTCCCACAAAATAATATTTCCAAGTTCTGGTTCAGCATAATGAAGTTGAGAGGTCTTATTTCATCCTTTTCATTTTCCGTAGAGCCACGGCCTTTGGCATCCTCAACGGGATATGCAAAATCGGAGCCATCTTGGGGAACTCTATCTTTGCCTCCTTTGTTGGCATCACCAAAGTGGTGCCCATCCTTCTGGCTTCCTCCGCTCTGGTCGGTGGAGGCCTCCTCGCCCTGCGGTTGCCAGAAACGCGTGACCAAGTCCTGATGTGAACCCGTGAAAGGGAGGAAGGCACTTCCAATGGACCATGGAAAGTCGGGCTTCAGATCCAAACGTCCGCCAGTATTTCTCCACTGATACCTCAGATTTGGGGGGGAATCTGGGGGAGAGGAGGAAGCACCCCTTTGAGATAACCTTAGTTCTAGGACCAGTGTGAAATGGTGATGGGGCCCATGCAGCCGGGCTACACACACAAAGATACACCCAGGTACACACCCAGAGCTTTGCTCACCGCTTGAAAGCTAACCCATTTTAGGGGGCAATCGGAGCCCCGTTTTCCTGCTGAACATGTGTGAGCATCTATCCCCAACACTAGTCGATAATATCCGCAGCCGCATTGTGATTGTGCATGTCGTGGTAGGTATTGTGCATTGTAGGGAGCGAAGCAAGCCACTCCACCACCCAAGTGAAGCTCTAAGGGCTCAACCCAACGGCTTGTTGTCTGCATTTCTATACCTTTCCAGGCAATTAATTGTGGGTGGGGGTGGGGGTGGGGGTGGGGAATTGAAGCTCATTCAGCAATGGCAACCCAAGGTGTTCTTAGAGTAACCTTTTGGGAAAGCCATCAGCCATTGCTTGACGTTTGATGGTGGTTGAGCTTTACTTTTGCTCACCTAAAACGAGACTCCCAGTCTTTGTGTCTTTACCAAGATATATACTGAGCTTGCCCTTGGTAGCTGGACTTTCAACTGGCTTCCAAAACATTATTTTTAAAACCTTTCTCTCTCACACAGAGCGAATTACAGATTTTGAATATGCATTTGTGCATTTAGTCCAGTCCTTGGCCTAAGTCTCTTATATTCCAGACTATATTTGCTTTGCAAAATATTATTCGGACAAACTTCCCATTTCATTTCCATGAAGACAAAATAAATATGCTAGTTACCCACCAATATTTCAATTACATTCATTTGGAGCATGAAATAGTAAAAAAAGAAAAGAGTGGTCAATGTTTAGTTTAATCCACCTGGCAGTATTTCGGATGCTTTGGTTTGGGGGGGGGGGGCGGGGGGGGTTGGAATGGACATACTTAATACGAGAGGGATATATGTTACTGTCATTGTTGCTATCGTTGTGGTTGGTCTAGTTTCATCCCTGTTTTCTTCACCAAACATTAAATGATTCCTAAAACCAAATATGTACATATCCTGCAGTGTAAATAGGGGTTCCTGTGAGGATATTATTTGATACGCTTCCAACTATGGGAATTGCAGAATTTTTTGACCAGTATTATAGCCATATTTACAAAATGAAAAATGTCTAGATGATGTAGAGATTTCAGTCTGACTGGAACACTGTAAAGTACAGTTAGGGGAGCAGCCATATAAGCAGTTTCTTCTCTAGAGGAACTGCACTCCGCAGAAATCACTGTATTGCACAGACTGAGTCTCCGATCTTCAGCCAAGGAGGAAATGTTCTTCACATACTAATTTAAGAAAACCTCCAACTTTGGGGATTTCTTGGGCGCCTCTTGATAGAGATGAAGTAGTCTCAGACTCAAGCCAACCAGCATCAAGAGGCAATGATGGAACAAACCATTTTGAATGGTTTTATTGACATGGCCGTAGAGGTGGCCTCAAGGAAAGTTGGACCTCTAATGGAAGAACAAAGCTCTACTTTGACCTTGTGTCAACATAGCCATGAGGAATCTGAAGAAGACCAGAATCTGGAGGAGATGCCCTGTTGCTCTGAAGAAAGGTCTGTTCCAACCCAGACCCAAAGACTTCCTCTGAGTTCTTCACTTCCAGTTTGATATATTCCAGGCTGGTCGAGGATCGATGCTGCTGGCAAAGATCTCTTAAAATCAGGAAAAAATATATATGAGCCATCCTCAGAGACATCTCATATGAAAAACTGCCTCTCGTACCATAATAATATTTCACAGGGCATACAGACAATGCTGACTTGTGCGTCTCCTCCAGTTGCATGAACTTGTATTCCCTTCCTTCGGCTCTGTCCGCTTTAATGCCCTAGCTGCTTCTTTCTTCTGATTCTCTTTAACTATGTCAAAAAGCCATATTGTTTGGTTCAGTTTTTGAGGGAAACGATGGGCAGGGATTGATTTCAATCCAAACTGGGATCTTGCTGTTTTCCACCTCTGATCCCCTTTCAGATGCCTATATGGACACCTCCGTCCCTAATCTGTAACCTGTGTGTGAAGACTTCCCCCATTTGCTGTTGGATCTGTCGCTGTAGCATTAACTGTACAGAAGAAATTTATTATTCAATAGATGTTTAATTCTATCTGGACACCTGCATTTCCCTTCTCCCTCCTTTTCTTTTTTCTCTCCCTTTTTGGTCAGTCGTCTTAAAGGAGTTGCTTCGTAATCCCATGTCTTTCCCCACTGAACACACCGTCAACTTTGAAATTCATGTCAAGCAATGAAGTTGCAATAAACTCAAACCAAATGTGTCACTGGTATGTTTTATGGAGTTGATTCTTGGGTTGAAGCCTAATCAGTTGGTCAGGTAGTCCCTGGTTACTAGTCACGATGGCTGGGTATTAACTCTAGTGTTGGAGTCAGGATACATCTGAATACCACTTTCTAGGGAGTCAAATATTTATTTATTTATTTATTTATTTATTTATATTTCGCCCTTCTCACCCCACAGGGGACTCAGGGTGGATTACAATGTACACATACATGGCAAACATTCAGTGCCATAGACACACAACACATATAGACAGACAGTCAGAGGCTATTTAATATTCCAACTTTCCTGGCCACCAGGGGAGCTGTCACTTCACCATCCATCTGCGACACTATGAAGTACTTTCTGCATTCCCTGCATGCTTTGCTGGAGATTTTTTATGGCTTCGTAAATTTGTTAAATTAGCCTCCCCACACATATTCTGGACACCAGGGGAGCTGTCCCTTCACCGAACATTTGTGACACTCATGAAGTACTTCCTCATTCTTTGCATGCTTGCTGGAGATTTTTATGGCCTCATAAATTAGTTAAATTTGCCTCCCCACATATGCAGTACCTAAATTTCCTACTTTACAGATGCAACTGTCTTTCTGGTTGCAAAGGTTGACAACAAGCTACACAAAATTGGTCGGATGCTCACTCCAACCTGGGCTGGCTTCAAACTCATGGCCTTTCGGTCAGTAGTGATCTTAATGCAGCTGACTCCCAGCCAGCTGTGCCAAAGTCCCAGTATAAAATATAATGGTACTAATGGCTCAATGCTATGGAAACCTGGGAATTATAGTTTTACAAGGTATTTAGCCCTCTTTGACAAAGATTCCTGGTGTGTCACCTAAAAGCCCCCTGGTTCCATAGCATTGAGCCATGACAGTTCAAGTGGGGTTAGACTGCTTTGTTCTATTGTTTCTACTTTCTACTCAAGAGGAGAGGTAACTGGTAGCAGTTTTCAGGGGATTAGGGTTTTTTTATGGATGGGAGATTAATAAAAACGATTAATTTGTGATGCCGAAAAGCAGAAGAGGAGCCAAGATTGGCTCCTGCTTGTTTTCAGTGCAGGTGGGTTTTTGTACCGGGAGGGTGCTTACTGTTACGGACTCCCGAAATACTGAAGGTACTGAAGGAATGTGAGGAAATGGAAGAAACTAATTCCACACACGAGTCTAGTCTATAATATAGATGCACTCTATGTCGATGCCATATATTTCCCCTCTTCATGGCTAGTTTAATATGGCTGCGAGACCCATCCTAGTGTCATTGCATGTAAAAAGCCTGCAGGCTATAGATAAAGCCTGGTGTGAAATATAACAGCCATGTGTCCTACCATAGCTTTGATAGTCCTCTATCTAAATAAGGATGGAATTATTCTCTAATCTTAGGGAAAGGAAGGGGTAGATACAGAAATTCTCTTCTTATTTCTATAGCTATAGTTTCCAAAGATGATTCCCAGTTTGAGGCTTGTTCCAAATGAAATTTGTAGGACTGGGCGGTTTCGTTCGTTAATTTCGTAATTCGTTATTGATTCGTTATTTTTTTGATAACGAAGCGATATTGAACCATTCAGGAGCAACTAAAAATCGAAACGAATTTTTCCAATTCGTTTCGTAATTGTTTCGTAATTGTTTCGTAATTGTTTCGTTATTATTTCATTATTATTTCCGTATGTCTGGTGCAAGTTTTATAGTTGTTGTTTGTTTTATCAGTGATAAAAAAATAAATTATCACACCAACAGTCAACAACAGAGGGAGAGGGAAGCTTCAGAAGTTCCCCCTGTCCCATTTGGAGGGTTTTTTAGCGTATTGCGCAATCGCGTCCGCCATTAACGAATCGATTCGTTATTGTTTCGAAATTGTTTAATTTCGTAAATATCGAACTTTTTAAAAGAAAAATTTCAGAATTCTTTTAAATAACGAAACGCAAAAAACCCCTAAACACGAATCGAGTTTAGAAACAAATTTTTCCGTGGTTGGACAGCCCTAGAAATTTGGTGGATGTATTTTTTTCTGTCCAGAAAATGCAATTTATTTATGGACAGTAAAATGCAGTTTTCTATATGGTTTTTTTTGTTGCTCAAAACAGCTAAGTATGGGTTTTATGTAGAAGTAGTCCTGAGCTGTGCAACCACTGAGAGGGTTTGCTTTTGCCTTCCTTTGAAGCAGATCTACACTGCTATGTAATGAGGTTTCATAATGCAGTTTTAACTGCACTGAACTGCATTGTATGACTCTATACTGCCATATAATCCAGTTCAATGCAGTTAAAGTATATTATAAAATGACATAATATGGCGGTATTGATGGGGTTTGAGAGAATGTGCCATGATCAGTATCAGCCAGTGTATTTCATTCTTCTTCTTCTTCTTCTTCTTCTTCTTCTTCTTATTATTATTATTATTATTATTATTATTATTATTATTGATGCCCTGTTCTCCAAAGCCATAACCCAATTTATTTATTTATTTATTTATTTCGCACATTTCTACCTCGCCCTTCTCAACCCCTGAGGGGGGACTCAGGGCGGCTTACAAAAGGCACAATTCAATGCCAGCAAAACAGTTATAAGATAAAACATATATCAACAACAATTATAAAACAATTAAAACAATCCAGTTATACATCACAATTAATAAAAACCTATCTAATGATCAACGTTTGCCAAGCTCAGAATCTGTAAGTTCATTCCGCATTGTCAAATCCTATCCAATTCTAGTCGTCATTGTCCTTTGTCTGTCTGCCAGATTACCCAAAGGCCTGGTCCCATATCCATGTGTTTAGTTTCCTTCTAAAAGAGAGGAGGGATGTCGATGATCTAATTTCCCCGGGGAGTGAACTCCACAGGTGAGGGGCCACCACCGAGAAGGCCCTGCTCCTCGTCCCCACCAATCTCACTTGTGATAGAGGTGGTGCCGAGAGCAGGGCCTCCCCAGATCTTCAACTCCGAGGCGGGACGTAGAAGGAGATGCGTTCAGACAGGTACACTGGGCCGGAGCCGTATAGGGCTTTGTAGGTCAAAACCAGCACTTTGAATTGTGCTCAGAACTGGATCAGCAGCCAG